GAGCGCTCTACCACTTGAGCTACAGCGCCACTTCCGGTTTTCTGGTGGTTTATTGGAGATAGGAGTCTCATGGTCTCTCCTGCCGGGGCTGGCTTGGAACTGCGATCCTCAGATCTCAGCCTCCTGAGTAGCTAGGATTACAGGCGTGAGCCACCAGCGCCCGGCTCATTTTGATCCATTTCTATGATCAGAGGCATTGTACTTTTGTGTTCCTACCCTAAGAATATCCTTCTTTGTTTTCCCTGTATGTGAATGCCTAAAGTCTTGTATAATTTTTTTTTTTTTTGGTCGTCGTGGGGCTTGAACTCTGGGCTTGGGTGCTGTCCCTCAGCTCTTCAGCTCTAGGTGAGTGCTATACTGCTTGAGCCACAGCGCCACTTTCGGCTTTCTAGTGGTTTATTGGAGATAAGAGTCTCACGGACTTTCCTTGCCTGGGCTGGCTTTGAACCATGATCCTCAGATCTCAGCCTCCTGAGTAGCTAGAATGACAGACGTGAGCCACTGGCACCCGGCTAGTCCAGTATAATTTATCATGTATTTTAGATCTAGCTTCTGCATATGGGAGAAAGCATACGCTGTTTGTGTCTCTGGGCTTGGCTTACCTCACTTAACGTGATTTGTTCTAGGTCCATCCATTTCCCTGCATATGATATAATTTTATTTTTCAGAATGGCTGTGTAAAATTCCATTGTGTATAGATGCCACATTTTTTGGATCCATTCATCTATTGTGGGGCATCTGGGCTGTTTCCGTATCTTGGCTATTGTGAATACTGCAGCAATGAACACGGATGCACAGGTGTCTTTATCCTATCTTGGCTCATGAGTTTCAGGGTAGATGCCCAGGAGTGCTACGGCTGGGTCATAAGGAGGGTCTATGTTTAGTTTTTTGAGGAAGCTCCAGACTGCTGTCCAGAATGGCTCTACTAATTTACATTCCCACCAGCAGTGCGGTAGAGTTCCTTTTCCCCCATAGCCCCACCAGCATTTGTTGTTCCATTTCTCAATGTTGGCCAATCTCACTGGGGTGAGATGGAATCTCAGAGTTGTTCTGATTTGCATTTCCTCATATGATTCTTTGTCATTCTTACCTCTTCTGAGCAGTCACTCTTTAGTTCTCTGGCCCATTTAGTGATTGGTTTATTAGGTTTGAGAGGGATTGTTTCTTGAGCTCTTGCATATTTTGGAATTAGGACTTTGATGCATTGCTGGCAAAGATCTTCTCCTGGTCTGTTGGCTGTCTTTCTAGTTTAGTAGGTATGTCCTTGGCTGTGCAGGAACTGCTGGTGTAATCCCATTTGTCAAGACTCTCGTATCTGCCATGTCCCTCAGATCTTTTTTTTTTTTTTTTTTTGTGGTCCTGGGGCTTGAACTCAGGCGCCTCTATGTGCTCAAGGCTAATGCTGCAGGACGTGAGCCACTTCCAGCTTGTTCTGAGTGTATTCCTGGAGATATGAGTCTCAAGGCTTTTTCTGCCTGGGCTGGCTTTGAACCACCGGAGCCTGGCACCCCTGAGCTTCTTTTCAAAAATGTTTGCTTATCCCAGTAAATTCTAGTGTTTCACTGGGTACTGGCTGTTATGCCCAGGTCGCAGGACCCCCACCAAAAAGACCACCAAGAGTCAGACTCTACAGCTGTTTTATTTAAACGGGCTGTGGCTCGGGCCTCGTCCTACACTCCGACACAGCGGAGCCCAGGAGGAGAGCCCCGAGCTAAGCATTTGCA